CCAACAGTTAGGTTTAGAGAAAATGTCATGAACAGTTTGGAAAACCACTCCCATAAAACAACAACGTGGTGTTGAACCGGTCTTCCAGTTGAAAGTCCTGTTTGTTGGACTCATCCACTTCCCCTCCCGCCCACCAATACTCGTCTTTTTAGATAATATAAAGTACGTCACTTGCTCTGTCTGTTGCTTAGTCACATGGATGAATTTCATTATTTGTCCTCCATGAATAAGGCTCCTCGTTGACTTCCCATTTGCATTATTGTCGTTCTAAGCGACACAAAAAAAACCAATAGCTGAACATTTTGTACTTGCAGGAAATACTTTGTAGCACTGTAACAATGTATGTGCTCCAGACCCCTTCCTGTGGCTCCGAGCAGTCCCAACAACACACTTCATAACAGTTAGTCTTCCCTGAGCTTTGAGGGATACTATGAGACCGTGATCCGGTGCTTCTGGCTGAAACATTTTATAGGTGACACTGCAGAGGCGGAGAGCTGCGTGTGGCTGTAAAGCCCTCGTCATTAACAGAGACCAGATGGTTGACCATGCACATTGCTCTGCTACTGGTATCTGTCCTCATTAGAGAGCACGTTCACACAGAGAGAGAGAGAGAGAGAGAGAGAGAGAGAGAGAGAGAGAGAGAGAGGCTGCATGATTTATTCAGCTCCAATCAGAGAAAGAAAAAATGATCCCTGTCTGTTCATGTTATACAACAAATAATCCCCTCTGCTCAGCACCAAGAAGGATCTCTCATATAAAACACAACAACTGCAGCTTTGAATCTCTTTTTGTTCAAACAAGAAAAGAAGGAAACTGTGTCACTCGTTTGAATCTGATACTGGTTTTATAATTGAGAGTGAAAGTCATCTGCGGGGAGAGTTTACTTTAATGCTTTTTAGTCCTCAAACACATATGAGCACAGTCAGGACTCTCTCTCTCTCTCTCTCTCTCTCTCTCTCTCTCTCACACACGTGCACACATTCTGTAAATGTGTCAGTAGCCATCCAATGCTGCTGCTGGTGGTGTGTGTGTGTGGGGGGGGGGGGTTGCACTTATGAGGCCGATCATACGGTGAGGTTGCTTGTCAGCGTTGAGTTCAGAACAGCGGATGATGATCCATCTCCCGTTGACACGCGCTGACATAGAAAACTATATTTAGCTGCTTGGCGTCCGTGCGTAAAGTGACGTTGGCGCGGACGCACCGCGCACGGAGGATTGTGGTCTGACTGCTGATGGAAGCAAACCGGTGATGTTGAAGTGATTATGAAAACATTTCTTTATGGACACTTTGTCCTTCCAAAAGTCCACGAATGACATGAGTTCTGAATGTTCATTCCAACCAAAAGTCCGATTTATGTTGCTTTCTTTATGTTTTCTTTTTGATTTTTGTTTTTTTCTTGTTTGTTTACTTTTGTTAGTTTGTATTTAGCGTTAGATGTTTATTGAGATCACAACTTTTCCTTTGTTGTTGTTGTTTTATTGTGCACAAACACAATGTGAATTCTTTTTTAGGCTGGCTGGGAGATAAAAATCAAAGAAGTGCTTTTGGACATGCCACGTCAGTACTTTCAAAATAAAATGAAAGACTCAATGAATGAATTACTGTTAGGGACACAACAGCACGTGATATTATAGTACAAGTACACGACTACCCTCATCACTGAGAACCAGACTGACTCCAGCTCAGCCTCCACAGAGACGTGAGTGACGTGTCCTGCTGTTTTTAGGTGTAGATACTGCACTTTATGAATAATGAAACAAAACAAAAAAATGACGTAAACAATGCGGTCCTCTTTGCAGCTCGGGCTTCGAGGCTGGAGGCGGGTGCGCAGGGGCGTGACGCGGCCGTGACGTAGATGCAGCCGGGGATCTTTTTAATCCTCTGCCGCAGCAGCCGCAGCCGGTAACCAGAGGAGGGGGAGCACGGTCTGACGGGAATGGACCGCACAGGCTCGGGCTAGTCTGCACTGAAGGCCGAAATATATCTAACGGTAATATCAGCGAGGGAAACGGAGAAGACTGGAACGAGCTGGCTGTTCGCGAAGGCCAGACCCCCTCCTCCTCCTCCTCCTCCTCCTGCTCCTCCTGCTCTCTGTCTGCAGCCTGTCCCCGGTCCACAGATGAAACGGACCTCGTTTAGAAACACTGTTTGAAATATATATCTTCAAACGCATGTGTAGGACTCGTTAAAAAAGCCGATCTCTAGCCGGCTGACGGATACTTCACGCCTCGTCCCCGGTTCGCCCTTCAGCGACGTCGCCGCGCGTCCCCGCTGTTCCCGTCAGTTGCTGCGCATCAGCAAAACATGCAGGATGAGCCTTTGGGGGTGACAACCACGCAAACGCCCCCATCGACCGAGGAGAAGGACAGCAACGAATCCGGGAAGCGACCGAACCGAACCGACAGCTCGTTCACGCCGGATTACAACCAGAGGAACGCGTTCACCGATTGCGCACGAGATCGTTTCTGCGCTGCGCAGTCCGTTCGTGACCTTCAGCCTCACAGCCGGAAAACACATCAGCAGTCAAGTCGGCACACCGAGTTCAGCCCCGCAGAGTCGCCCCCACCCCAGGGACGTGTCAGTCACCTGCCGCAGAGGCGGCCCGAGCTCCGCGGCTCTCCAGTAGAACCGGCCCAAGCCGATGCTGCGTCGCCATCGCCCACTTCTGTGAATCCAAACGCGATCCAAATGGACTCTCCCATCGCCCACCAAATAAATATCGGCAATGGCAGCAGCGGCGGCACCGGCAACATGTTGTCCGGAAGTCTCAGCGCCGCTTTCCCGAACCTCCCCGCCCAGGAGATGCAGAGCGCCGGCTCGTCGCCCGGGTTCGGCACGCCGTGGTCCGTCCAGACCAGCTCCTCGCCCCCACCCGCACCCAACTCCATCAACCACCACCCCATCCACGCGAACGCCATCAACCAGATGCCCAACGCGGACCCCGACAACAGCTTCTATCCGGGCATCCCCTCCTCCATCAACCCGGCCTTCTTCCAGAGTTTTTCGCCGGTGTCGGCTAATCCGTGCGCCGGGATTAATGTACAGGGCTTCAACGGTCCCTTCTCGCCCCAGATGAACGTCCCCCAGCAGGCGCAGAGTCGCAGGTCCCCGGTCAGTCCCCAGATGCATCCCCAGCAGGGCGCCTTCCTGCAGCAGAGGAACAACTACAACCAACATCAGGTGAGCTATAGGACACAAAAAAAACATCTTATTGTATTCATCCCACCACTGGTTAGCATTCCCACCTTAAGATGTCCAAAAACCGATCCTACACATTATTCTTGACCTCTTTGAATCACGATGTCAGGGTGTGAGGACCACCAGGATGTCCTGAGGTCAGGTTAGCATCGTGTGACACTGCAGAGATAGAAAAGCCTCTATGTATGCATGTGTGAGCATTATGTAGTCTTTGAAGGATACATAGTATTTGTGTTTACTCATAATGCATGTGTCATGTTATCTGCATGGGCTGAAGTCACTATGCTCTTGATGCAAAGGGAGAGAGAGGTGGTGGGTGGGGGGGCATCACTGAATCCAGTTGTTGTTCTCTGTGGAAGCTGCCAGTGGGATGCGGTCACATGGCTCATGACCATCCCTGTCTTGTGGTCCAGTCAACAGAAAGGCTGCTGGGGGTTTGGTGTCCTAAATGGATGCTCAGAGGTGTGTGTGTGTGTGTGTGTGTGTGTGTGTGTGTGTGTGTGTGTGTG